TAGTAGCAATATCTAAGTGTTAAAATGAACCTTAACTGATGTGGGAGTCTGTGGAGAGTCCAGCTCCAACCTGTTCCCACCTTTCAAAGGATTCTTAGGTAGAGGAGAGAGGGATAAGAAAATATCAGAAAGAGAGACCTAAACGATGAGAAGAAAGACAGAAATGCAGGATAGCTTCGGAAGGCCCTGGGTCAATAATACCCAACAGCCCCTTCGTTTATTCAAAAGGGCTTTTGATAATATGCCAAAGGGAGAGGCCAAAGACCTCCCCCTTGCAAGATCAAAGCACACCGTACAGCCAAGTGTAGACCCTTCCAAACACCTGCCTGGTAACCACATCTGTGGTCAAATCATCCCATTATGCAGCCCTGCTGGGTAAAGCAAGCTCAGATTCTCTGACCTTGAGTAAGGTATCACTAGATGGCCTCTGTGGGCCTCCACAAACTGAGATAATTCACAAAATATTTAGCATAGGAAAAGTGTAACAAATGTAGTAATTACAATCTTATTAGCCCACATAGCATACCACAATAGACTATAGTTGCTGCATGGCTATACTATATACATACCTAGACAACCACTGCTCCCTCTGAAAACTATGTGAACACAATATTTCAGACCACATAATTATGAATTGTTATCAAATTTATCTAATACAAATAAAAATGTATTATCTTCCCTGATCATGTGTTCAAATGGCTTTTCTATCTGCAGACAGCATATGGGTGCCAATTTTGTTGTGTAGCATAAAAGCAATTATTCATAAGACCTTTATCAATTACATTCAGCTTTAAAGATGATTTGGGTGGGGGGGGGGGTAAGGAAGGTACAAGGTCAAAGTCTCCTGTCTTCTTCGATCACTTTCCTGGAGATCATCTATTGCCTAGACTGCCTAACAAGTCTCAGGATCCTGCTACCTCTACCACACCCCAAATCCTGGGCTCCCACCCCTCCTCACACTGGCACTAGGAATCTGAACCTAGGCCTTCATGCTTGCTATGGCAGGTGCTTTCTCCATTCCCCAGAACAGGATTTTTCAAGTAATAGTTGCAGTTTTTCTTTCACAAATTATTACTTAAAATATGACACCTGCAAAAGCAAGCTTCACATCTACTTCTCTGCAAATTTCCAAAGACTAGCCAAAGGCATCTGAATATAATTGTAAAACTTAAAAGTAGTATTATGTAGTAGTATTACTCTTCTGCTAACCCTCTAGCACTTGAGCCAAGGTTTTGGTTTTGATTTCTGACAGTACTGGGGCCTCAACCTAGGCCCTTAAGTGAAGTTTTCTTAAGTGAAGTTTTGGGGTTTTTTGTTGTCGTTGTTGTTTTTTCCTGAGACAGGGTTTCTCTGTGTAGCTTTGGAGCCTGTCCTGGAACTCACTCTGTAGCCCAGGCTGGCCTCGAACTCACAGAGATACGCCTGGCTCTGCCTCCCGAGTGCTGGGATTAAAGGTGTGTGCCACCACTGCCCTTTTTTTTTTTTCTTTTTAAATTTTGTGTTGAGACATTATTTTTATTTTATGTGTCAGATCTTGGGAGTTACAGACAGTTGTGAGTTGCCATGTGGGTGCTGGGAATTGAACCCAAGTCCTCTGGAAGGGCAGTCAGTGCTCTTACTTGCTGAGCCATCTCTCTAGCTCCCTTAAGTGAAATTTTTAAAGGCACAGTTTTTGCAACATTATTTTGAACAATGTGTATATTTTATACATTCAAAACTAAAATCCTGGAGCTAGAGAGACGGCTTAGCAATTAAGAGTACTTGCTTCCATGCAGAGAACCCAGGTTCACTTCCCAGTACCGGCATGGCAGCTCACAACCAATTGTAACTCTAGTTCCAGGGGTTCCAACACCCTCTTTCAGCATCTGAGGGCAACAGGTACACATATGGTACACAGACACATATGCAGGCAAAACATCCATACACATAAAAAATGTTTAAATTAAAATATATATCTATGTATATCTCCAATTTTGGTAAGAATCAGTATTGATATTGCAATTTTTAAATGATTTAAATAGATGAGAAAGCAAGCAAACAAACTTTAGTTAGCAAGATCTTCATTTTTGACAAAAGTAGAATCAAAGATGAGAAAGTCTATCCTGTTAATTTGAATTGGACATATCACTATGAACTCATGATTAAACAAATGCAAAATGGCTGGGTGTGGTGGCCCACACCTTTAATCCCAGCACCTGGGAGGCAGAAGTAGGATTTCTGTGAGTTCCAGAGCAGCCAGGGCTATATGGTGAGACTCTATCTACATTTAAATAAGTTCTTAGTTCTATCCTTTCAAACAAGTCTAGAAACAGTAATACTCTGGTAGCAATGATTATGCCAAACTTTCATATATATATCTTTTTATATATACCATTTTTCATCGAAATGACCATGACTCCTTGGATAAACAGCCCTTTCCAGATGGCCCAGCAAAAGCAGCCTAGGGTACCTTGTACCAGAAAGTGCTCCAGGACAGAGTCGAGCCTAAGTGTCAAAAGATACTATATAGCTAGTTTGAAAACGTTCCTATGTCAAAATTGGTGAAATGTGGCCCTCAAAAAGGATCCTAATTCCTTATAAAATGAATAAACTCCCAGGTGGTAATATCCCCTCAAATCTCAAGTCCTTAATGGTTATCATAACCCTCTTAAAATTAAAAAAACAATCAAACAAACAAAAAAACTATTTGCTCATTAGGATAACAATTTCCCTAGCTCCTGTATTCTAAAAATCAATAATTAAGGTGATAAAATCAAGCATTTAATCTGCATTTTTAGCAAGAAATTTGGTTCACACCCAATAAAAAAATTTCAATTGTTCAGAGACTCTTTAATAAAATAACTGATTGAGAGCTAAAAAATCACTAAGAAAAGTACAGTCAGAAACAAGTTCCCTGCTTCCTGTCAGATTTACCACCTTAAGGCCACGAATAGTCAAACTGTCAAACCATACCTTCACAAAAGACCTTGCAGTCACCACTTTAATCAAGTGGTCATATTTAACATCATCAACTGTGTGGTGTTCCGACACTACCAACTTTCTAATACTTAGAATACAAAGTGCAGGCCATCACTATTGAAGTATTCTTGCCAAAGAGGGTTTCACTTTAAGCTAATTAAATCTTTGTTCCAGGGATGCCCAATCTTTTAACAAGATATAGCACTATTATCTACAGTTCTCGAAGGAACCGTACACAATCAAGTCACACACACAAAAACCTAATATTTTCAGTTTACAACTTTGTGTTGGGTTGTATTCATAGATATCCTTGGCCTTATGCAACCACAGTCAGGTCTGGAACCAAACTTTCACTTAAAATGAAAGAGCAGTAAATGAAATGACACTCAGAGGACAAGGTCAAGGCTCAAATGCGCTGCAAAACAACTGGTTTGGTCAGGTAAGTGCCCCCCCCCCCAAGGAGATAGTCTGGGTACTACCCTTTTTAACAAAGGCATGACTAAATACATGTAATCACCAAATGCAATACAGGAATCTTGACTGACTACAGCTGTGGAGATACTTTGGGATTACTTAGGAAATTCAAATACAAAAATTTTGATGGGCACTGTTACTGACTTGGTATTTTTAGGAAATATTTAAGAATCAAACATGGTGGTGGAGGAAGAAATCTAATTCCAGCACTTAGAAGGAGGCACACTGTCTCAACAACAGCAACAAAACAGGCAACAATACAGGAAAAAACATTCATCACTGAATCTGGTACTAATACGGTCACTGTATTTTCCAGACAACTTCTGTAAAATCGAAAACTTTCAGGCCATAAAAGAAATTATATCACCACTGAGAAGTACAGCAGAAAGACACTGGGTTCAATTGTCAACTTACCACTTGCATAACCTAGGAAAAGTTCCAATTAATGTTACTAAGTTTCTGTCCCTTCTATAAAATTCAAATGTTCTGAAACTAAGACTACATATATAAAAAGCAAAACACTGTTGCACAAAATAAATCTGGTTTTCGTAATTAATAAATACAAATCATTAAATACAAAATATTAAGAAAACACTCATTTTTACAGTCCACGTGGAAAACTACAAGACACAAATGAATATTATAAATCAACAGGAAATCAAAGTGAATGAGAGGAAAAGAAATCAAGATCTATATAGTATTTTTTCAACCAAGAATTACCCAAAAAGCAAAAGCAAATATCAAATCCTTATCCAGCCTCTGGTATCTATTATACTGTAGTTTGCTTTGGGTATTAATTTACCTCCGCATAAAATGCTAATAAGCGGAAGTTAAGAATTTTTCCGATAAACACACTCAACAGATTAGTATGCTTATATATTTAAAAAAAATAAGTTTTAGTCTTAAATTCTGTAAGTTACTAGAAAGTACACGAACATCGCAGTTTACAAAAGATTCTGGTTAAGGCTTACAAAAATCAAACAGATGCAATTTCCTTGAATCAGTTATAACTTAGTTGTCATTTCACCTGCAGGTAACCCCTTTCTTTTTGTTAGGCCGACAGTAAAATGACCAGACACAGAGAGATCCTCAGGTAGGTGGGGGGAATAAGAGGTGTTTGCACTCGCTTCCTCTTTTCTTTTAAAAGAAAAGTGCCGTTCTAATACCAGGGGCGGGGGAGGAAAGCAGCCGGGAAGAGGAGGGAATAACAGGTCTAGGGCTCGCGGGTAGACCAGGTGAGCGGGTATAAACACCTCGCCTGCCTCGGATTCAGTGTGGGGCGGATTGTCTTGCAAATCTGCTCCTCTGGAGGATCCGGGTGACTACTTCGGGTCCGCAGGGACCAACGCCAGCACCCCTCTCGCCCGGGATTAAATGCCAATGAGGGGTGTTTCCCCGCACGAATCGGGGTGACAAACCAGGTTTCCATTCCCGCCCCCCCCCAGCCCCCCGGCCCCGGGTCCAGGTGGGCGACGCGTGGTGTCAGTCCCCGGGCTGGCCCGCCGTCTCGCCCTCCCTCCCTCCCTCCTTCCCTCCCCCCGCCCCGCTGGCCCTCCCCTCCCCGTTACCTGCGGGCGGCGGTGCGGGGGTCCGGAGGCCTGCTACTGCTCCTCCTCCTCCTCCTCCCCGCCAGGCTTGAGGCGGCGAGGTGGCGGTGGCGGTGGCGGCGCCGGCAACCCGGGGGGAGGGGGCGGAGCGCGCGGCCGGCTCCTCTCCTCCCCCGGGAGGCTCAGGGGACCCTATCTCGGGCCGCCGCGCCTAGGCCGGTGTGCAGCCTGGAACTGGGCGCGCATGGCGGCGCGGCTCGCCCGCGTGCCCGCGAGGTGTGAGAGCGCGAGGCGCGAGGCGGAGGAGGAGGAGGAGGAGGAGGAGGAGGAGGAGGGCGAGCGAGCGAGCGCCCGGCGCCCGTGGGCCTGAGAGGAGGAGCGAGGGGCCCAGCCCGCTGCGCGCGGGCGGCCGTTGGGGGCGGTTGCCGAGGGCGGGCGACTGCTCGCTCGCGCTGGCCCGGCGGGGCGGGGTGGGGAAGGGGGAAAGGGACTGAGGGGAGGGGAGGGGAGGCTGGGAGGGAGCCGCCGCAGCGCGCGTGCGGGCCGGCGCCGCCGTAGCCGCTCGTTTCACTCCAGCCTGTTTGGGGGCACTTTGTTTGTGTCCCACAATGCCCCGCGCGGACGGCCGGGCTGGGGACGGGGCGGGGCGGGGCCGGGCTGAAGGCGGCGCGCGGCTATTGCGCAAGCGCAGCGCGAGCTGTCCTTAGCCGGTCGAGCCAGCCAGCCACTGAAGCACCCGCGGGCCTTGACCCGGTCTGTGCACTTGTCTGTTGCGCTTCTCCATATGCATAAGCGCCACAAGGCCTGTCCAGTTTGTCCTTCTGTGGCCGTGGTCTGAGCTGCACCCGGGGGAGCGTTAGAACGACTTGGTTTCCCTTGGAACTAAAAGCCTAAAGGAACTGTTTTTCTCTAGTGGTTTCTGTAGCTGCAGAACACCCTAGCCCTTCTCTGTCGGGAAAGGAATTTGGGTGATGTGGCCATTTTTCGCTCGTGGAAACTGAGGCCTATTAAGGCGTGGCCACAAGGGCCGCTGAGAACCTGGGGAACTCTTCTTCATTCTCCCCGATGAACAGGGATCCCTTGCAAGCGATACCACAGAGCGTCTTGGCGCGTCTGACATCCTCGTAGTACTGTGAGGTTGCCCTAGCTGGCATTTTTCTGATTACCGTAGCAGGAAATGCAGTTCTGAGATGACTAGAAAAAAAAAAAAATCTGCTCCCATGTCTCTCTAGTTTCCCCAACACAGAGTGGCTTCTACACCTAAAGCGACTGTGAACTATTCCTTCCCCGACCGTGAATGGCATTCTAGTACACCGACTCTTACTTCTCTGCCCTTGGGGGAGGGGATGTGCGGGTCACTTGACTGATACTGTCTAAAGGGCTTTCAAGTTTTGGTCGCCTGCAAAATCAGCGCTTAGGGTATTTAAATTTCCAGAGCCCTGGCTTCCTCAGACCTCAGAGAACCAAACTTGGTGATTTAGCGGGAGTGGGGGGTGGGTAGGGGGGTAAGAGAGGTGGGGGTACCCTGGGAGTACCCCGGGAGGCAGGCGACATTGTGCCCCAGAAGCGTGGAGGAGGGCAGGATGTCTGTCAAGGCGCTGCACCTAGGGCGCTGTGCATTTGCATATGCGTACTATGTACCCACACCTCCAGCTTTTAAACCGAAAGACTTCTTTGTGCATGGTAGGTTGATCTCCCGGCTGCAATAAACACTTGGCCTCCTCTGACTTTAATCCACCCCCCCACAAAGCAAACCACCAAGCACCAGGGCACCCTAACCAATGAAATCTACTTTCAAAATAAAGGCAGCAAAACAAAGGTCTGTGTAGCCCTTCTCAATTTCCAACAAATTTTCAACTATATAGAAGGTATTCAATCCTCGACAACCTAATCTGCAGATGTCTTACGATTACTCTATCGTGTTTTTAAATAAATTGAGCCTGGCTTTGCATTGAGAATTGAAGAATCTTACTACCTAGGGAGGTGCCTGAGTTTAAGGCCCTTGGTGGAGTATGTATTGAAAACATATGTCATGGAAACAACTGGTGAGGAATCTAGTGGGAATAAAGCAGACAAATAAAGTCTTCGGGTATTTAATAGACAGTCAATAAAAGAGCATTCAACTGGACTTCTCTAATTGTGATTCAAGGGACTAAGGTTCTCAGGACAGGCAGAAAACACACACACAGAGCTTTCATTCTCTTGTCTCATCTCCTTTTCTCTCATAAACTTTGTCTATTTCTCATTTTTGCTTCTAAAATGTTACCATCCTCCCATCCCATTCCCACCCTATGTCTGAGGAATTTATTAAGCAACAAATGGCTGTTGATCTCTTAAAGGCAAAGTTCTAGATGCGTGGAGAGGGTGTGAGAAAAAATGCCAAGAAGATGAACTGTTGTTGGAACTCTCTTCTGTATTTTGGTTCTGGGCAGGATCAGTTTCTGTGGCTTCTTCAGCCTCCTACCTCTTTTCTTCCTGAGCTAGCAGAGACTTGCCCTTGGGGTTGCTAGAATAAGTAGACCTTTCTTTGACACCAGGTCGAATGATTCTGTTGGGAGGATTTTGTGAAATCGGAATCCTGTACACAGGTGAAACAAACTGGACAGTATGAGGAACTTTTAATTATTAACCCAGTGTGGATGATTCTGAGGAATTCAAATTCCAGGCAAATTCCAGGGGGGATTATTTTATCCATGGGCTGTTTGGGGGACTCATTTCTGGCAAAAAAAAAAATAAATAAATATGGTACGTTCTCATAGTAGACAATTACTGCTGAATGGGTACTCAGTTATTTAGACCAAAACATATTTCAGAGATAGAGTACTTTATACTCACCAGAAAGATTTCTAGTCTGACTGGAACTGCTTCAATGAGAGCCCATTACAATTCAAGCTTACTTCCTCATAGATCCTTCCAACTATATAAACAAAGAGCAATCTCCTTTCCTTACCCTGAGACATGCCACTCTCTACTGTTCCCATTTCACCGTCTGCTCAGTTGGGTAGGTCAACTTTGCCACTTTGCTACCCCCCTGCAAACCAATCCAATTGAACAGTTCCTGTTAAATATGCTCATTCCCACTGCCGCCATCCTGAAATATAACACATGGTCCCTAGAAAATGGGAATATTGCTTACCTGGTTCCCAAATAGACTCCCCTTCTCTTCACTGACCAAGCAGTAGCCAGAATTGTAATGCTTGGCAACCATGTCAGGCAACAGCCAACAATTTCTATTGTTCTCAGGTAGAGTCCCAAGCTCTCACAGTGGCTTTCATAACACTACTGTCTGCGGCCTTGTCTCGAGACACTTCAAGAAATGAGGCAGTCACAGAGTTACTTTTTTTTTTAACCTCTAAAATACCATGCTTTTTCTTGCATTACACATTATTTCCTCTAAATAGTAATATTCCATTCTTTGGATATTTTTCTCCATCTTCAGATCTCTTCTTTTACATATTTGATAGTTCTATGTGATACACTTTGAATAATGTAAAATATATTTGATGCATAACTGTCCTGTACATAATATTGGTAAATTGTCGTGTGCTCTTTGGGCCCCTTGAGAAGCTGGCTCTGGAAACGGAGTTATCTCCCCATCCCCATCTAAGATGCAAGCGTGATTTTCTCATGGTATCTTCCAAGGCACCTTTGTCTGTGGATGAGCTGCCATCCCAGCACACACACCTCTGTAACAGCGAGAGAAGAAAACGGCCAAACAGCCCAAGAGTAAAAACACCGTGTCTTTGAAAACAGCTCTAAGGTAAAGCATTTCTAACAGAGGTTACTATTGTTTATCCCATGGTATTAAAATGCCTGCAGTGGGAATAGGAAACTGGGAGTTCGACTGACTGCTTCGGCTTGTCCAGTAGGTTTCTGCCAGATGGTTTTAAAAATCCAGTTTGGTGATGTTACCTTTCTGCTGCTTTTTATTCTTTTCCTTGGAAGTGTCTCCTGAGCAGACACTTTGCTCTCTCAGTCAGGAGCCCTAGCTGGTTGCCTCACTGGGCTTCCCCAGTCAATTTCTGCAGGATGTTTTAAGTGCCCAATTGGATGATGTTTTGTTTTCTATCTGCTCTTTGTTATTCAATTTATTCTTTTGGGTTTTTTTTCTTTTTCTTTCTTTCTTTTCTTTTTTGTTTTTTTGTTTTTTGTTTTTTGTTTTCCAAGACAGGGTTTCTCTGTGTATCCCTGGCTGTCCTGGAATTCGCTCTGTAGACCAGGGTGGCCTAGAACTCACCTGCCTCTGCCTCCCGAGTGCTGGGATTAAAGGTGTGCTCCACTCCCCAGCTATTTATTCTTTCTTTTGCATGCTATGTACTTACTAAACTTGCTCATTCAAAACTGAAAGTTCAGCTATTTATCATCTTCAGATCATATAGAACAATAATAATACATACCATATGTAGTGTATTATATATATATATATAATGTATGTAATATACCTGTACCAATTTTTATTAAAATGAAACTCACATACTAACACAGTCCACCCATTGGAGGTGTACCATTCAGAGATTCTTAATATTTCAGCATTGTATAGCTATCACCACAGTCAATTTTTAAACTTTCCCATTACCTGAAAGGAAACCAGGACCTATTAGCTATTACTCTCCCTACCTCAGCTTTCCAGTCCTGAGTACCCAATAACATAGCTGCTTTCTGCCCATGCACATTTGCATATATTATATATGTTTTCAGTTTGTTGAGCTATACTGTGCTTGATCGGTACTTTATTTTTATTTATTTATTTATTTATTTATTTATTTATTTATTTATTTATTTGCTTATTTATTTATTTTGGTTTTGGTTTTTGATTTTTCAAGACAGGTTTTCTCTGTGTAGCCCTGTCTGTCCTGGAACTCTCTTTGTAGATCAGGCCTGACCTCAAATTCACAGAGATCCACTTGCCTCTGCCTCCTGAGTGCTAGAATCAAAGGCATGCGCCACCACTCCCAGTTTGGTTGGTATATGTTTTAAGGCCTCTATATTATTTTCCTCTTTTGGGTGTAAGGGACTATGTTTAGCTGTTTGCCACAATGTAGATTTTGACACTTGATATATATAACATGTTTCCATCCCTTCTGTATTTTTGTGTGAATCAGTAATGGGATCTAGATGTTTTATCATATTCAATTTTTATTTAGGACAAGATTACTTCATTGGCGGCTGTGTGCTTTTCCACTAGGTCATACACAAATGTATGCTTGTCTTTTTCTTTTTGTAATGTTAGCAGTCACTGATGTACTACTCATCAACTAATGCTCATATCAACTAATTTATTAGGAGTTTTAAAGTGGTGATATAATTCTTGTCATGGGAT